ATTTTAGTGTAAAGAAAATGCATATTAGGGCTATTCTCGTGTACGAAGCCGTGACAGTGTCTTTTTGCCGTTGCGTTGCTGTAGCGGCGTTATCTCTTTTGCTGATTTGCCACTGCGATGCTGCAGCAGCATTGCCTCTTTGTCACTTCACCGCTGTGATGCTGCAACGGCACTTCCTCTTTGCTGCTTCGCCACTGCGATGCTGCAGCGGTGCTGCCACTTCGCCGTTGCGATGTTGTAGTGACATCGCCTCTTCGCTGTTGTGATGCTACTGCTTCCCTTCGATGTTGCCGTCGCTGCTTCCTAAGTATCACTGCACTTCTCCTTTTCTTTCTTCTTCTTCTTCTTCCTTTCTTTCTCCTTCCTGCTTTGTTCCTCCATCGAACCTTCCTCTTTAACCTCTTTTTCTTCCTCATCGAAGCATCAGTATGTATCGGCGTACCATGTGTCGATACACCGGTACGGAGTAGCACATGTCGTGCTGTCTGTCGACCAGCACACCGGCTCAGACCGATAAGTCAAACCTTGTTGATCACAACATTAGAAATACTAATTACTCCTTAATTAGCCCTCTTTACCACAATAAGCATGTCAAACACTCTAATAATTATTAAATACATAAAATTTACCTAATAAAGGATCAAATAACAATTAATATATCATTAAATACACTAATTACAGTGCTAAAATACTTAATTAAACCCTAATTTGCCCTATTTTGCCATTATTCATATGTCAAACACCCCAAGGGGTATTAAATATGTAAATTTGATCCAATATAAGTCAAATTCAGATGAAATCATCATTAAATATACTAATAACACTATTAACAGTTTATTATTCCCTACTATAAACATGCCAAACTCTTTAATAGGCATTAAAGATATTCAATTGATCCAATATAGGTCAAATTTTGATTAAATCAACATTAAATACACTAACCACAGCGTTAACATAGTTAATTAATCTCTAATTAGTCCTCACCACCGTAAACATATCAAACACTCTAACATATATTAAAGATATTGAATTGACTCAATATGGGTCAAAATTTTGATTAAATCATCATTAAAATCATTAGTTACAGTATTAAAAAAATTAATTAAACCTATTATACTATCACAATCATGTAAATCACCTTAATATTATGAAATACAAAGATTTGACCCACTAAATGTCTAATTTTAAAAAAATCAACATTAAATACACTAATCACAACATCAAAAGCCTTAATTACTCCCTAATTAACACCATTCTATAATCATAAAGACCTCAAATAACATATTAGATATTGAGAACATAGAATATGCTTAATTATCTCATAAATCATTGGAAATCATGTAAAAAATACATATATTTGATTAGAGAGTTCTTCCTCTAACTTAGGTGTTAATCCTCCCTAGTTAGTCTTCTAAGCTTGATCCAAATCACAAATCGCAGCGTTGTGAAGTCTTAAGAGGGTCCAAATGTGAGAATGAGAGAAAGAAATGAGTGAGAAAGAGATAGAGAGAAAGAGTTTGAGAGAGTGAAAATGTGTGAAAGAGGGGGAGGAAAGAGTTTAAAAACCTTTTCCAAATGGGTCTGATTGTTGAAATTGGTCGAATCTAAGCCATCCGTTGATAATAGTCGAAATTTAACTGTTACTGATCAGTACAAGTCGATAACGGTCAAATTTTGATCGCTCCAACCGGTATAGGCCTTGTTTCGGGCAATACGAGATCATTTAGTATATACCACTCGGTACAGGGTGGTTCACGTATCGTTCCCCTATCGGACCAGTATGTACCACCCATACTGCACAATATACCACAACACAACAAACCTTGTTTTCAACAACACAATGAGTTGGAACTTAACCCATATAATGAAGGCCTAGATCCATGTCTAATTAGGATCCTTTAGAATTAAACCCAGTACTCCATTTCTAATTCATTTTGCAGTGGAACTAAGTTCAAGAAAGCGCAAAGCCCTGAATTATATATATATTTTAATACTGTAATTAGTGATCTGAGATGTTATTGGTAACTAGTCTTGACTTTGACATGTGTTCTCTTGTCATTTTCATCTACTGAAAGCTTGGATGATGATGATGTTGATGATGAAAGGACAATAGAATTATGAATTAAACTAAGGATCATAATAACTAGGGTAACATTTCACAATCTGTTTGATGACACTGCTAGTGAAAAGTTATCAAACACAACAAAGCAACAATAGGATCCTTTTTAGTTGGACAACTGAATTTTGTACATATCAACATGTTAAATGCTTGCCTGCTTAAATAAATTGAGGGGTTTTACTTTTTGAGAGAGCTGCAAATATATATGGATCCATTGTTATTGAAGACAGAGAACTATACATTGTTGGTTGGTATGAAGATCAAAACAGGAAGGTGATGGTCCAGTTGCGAATACCAAGGTCTGCAATACCGTACCGTACCGTACCGGTGTTTCGAGGTTGGCTCGGTACGGTACGGTATCGCGTACCGAGCGGTACGTCAGGGCGTACTGAGCGGTACGTCAGGGAGTACTGAGCGGTACACCTAATTTAGGGTGTAAAACCCTTCGAAAATATCTGAAAAAAAAAAGTTAGGATAGGGTTTTCCACTATCATCATTAGATACACTAATTACATGATTAACATAGTTAATTTTTCACTAATTACTTCTCTTTCAACACTATAAACATGGTAAACACCCTAATAGGTATTAAACACATTGAATTGACATAAAATCGAACAAATTTTGATTAAATCATCATTAAAATGACTAATTGCAGCATTAAATAACTTTAATAAAACCTAATTAAACCTATTTTACCATTATATATATGTCAAACACATAAAAGAAACATTAAATATATAATTTTGATCTAATATGATTCAAATTATGATAAAATCATCATTAGATACACTAATTACATGATTAACATAGTTAAATTTTCACTAATT